AAAAAAAAAAAAAAGATGAAGTCATAGGCACTTAAACAAAGATATAGGACTCTTAGTTCAGGTCTAGGTTGTTCTATGTAGGTTCCACCCAGACCTGACCCTGTTTAGTTTGTAAAATCTTATGAGATCATAATCTAAGATAGCATACCTGGAGTATACTAAATATATCTGCAAGGCTAGGTGTGTGCAATTTTGTATGTCTATTTCCTTTTCAGAGTTCCAGAATAAGGTTTTCCTTAAATTACCCACACTGTTTTGCCTGTCTTTTAAAATGAAATTCTAGTGACCTTTCATGAAGAAAAAATCTCTAGTGTTCCACCAGTAATTCTTTTGAACAGGAACTTTGACATCCGTTGTGGGGGTAGTGCTTTTTTTGTAAGGGGTGTATCTTTTGCCACCTTGGTCAAAAGTCTCCCACACTTGGCCAACTTATAATCCTTTGGAGGAATCACCATTTGTACATGATCAGTAGAAACTAAAGGAAAATTTGCTGCTAAACCTAAGCAGGTTCTGCAGCACAATGAGACTGTTCCAGCTGAGGCTGGGCAGGGCTTTGCCTGCGATAGCAATTCTGGGTCTTCTGTAGCCTCTTCTTGCTTTGGGTTTAGAAACCTGAACTGTGAGCAAGGAGGCTATCCCTATTGGGTTGATAGTATTGCACCTTCTTGGCTCAGATGGGAGGAAAATCGCCTGATTTTGAAGGGAGTTCTAAGGAGCTTGACCTAGACTGGGACAAGGAGCTTTGATCACAAAGGGGCAGAAATACTGGAGCTGAAGCCTGGTGAGAGGGGAGAAAAATGGTACTGGGATTTGGGGTGACAAAGGAGGGGGAAAAAACTGAATCTGAAGTCATGATAGGAGGGTGGGTCTGGGAGTCAGGGTGGAACTGGGACTGAATGGCAGAGGAAAGGGCAGGGAGAGAGAATGCTAGGGGAGCTAACAGGAGGCTAATATTCTCTGGGCAAAGACCCTGGGACTAAGCTATGAAGATAGTTAATGATTTCCTCATGATCTTTTCTGTGACACTCACAGTAGTACCTCGCAGTCATCCTTCGCTGCACAGCTTTGCACTGCACCTCCCTGCAACGGGTTCATTCTGTATATGGTATAAGATAAAGATTCTGTTAGAAAAAAATAATATATATATATGATCATCTATTTAAAGATTGTGTCATAAAACATATACTAGGAGCTGAATTAAGGCTGCACAGGGAACCTTCATTTTGTCATTTCCTAGCTTCTGCATTCTTGATGCTATAACCTTAATGTTTTCTTTTAACATAGTTTTTGTTTGTGATATACGAGTCCTGTGTTGTACTTTGTGCTATAAATGTGTTCCCACTCAGCAGTGAGTGGGAGCAGAATAAAACTAAAGTTTCGCTTCAAATACTGAATACATGGGGTTTTTTAAAATGAAGTCAGTATAAGTGTAACTAAAAGAGATTCTATCTGTTGTTCAGCAATTTTTCAATTAGTAGGCATTTTCTGATATTTCTTTAGTCCTGGAAACTGGCTGAGCCACTTTCAGAGATTTACTAAGTTAAATTTTCAAAAGACACACATTTTTAAAAGCATCTAGTGTGTTTGTTTGTTTGTTTGTTTGTTTTGCAGCTTTTCAGGGGTAAAAGTAACGATTTTTGTCTGTTTCCAGAATGTGGGTTTTTCAACTGGGTTAGATTTTGGTCTGTGAACACTTTGACATGGACTC